ACGTCTCTCTCTCTCTCTCTTTTGCTTTGTATATCTCCCCATGTCGATGTCTGTAACATACCTCTAATAACGGATACTACCCGTCTGCGACGAAAAAAACTCCCTTTCGATTGTAATACATGGACCCATGCACCTCCACTCCAAATAGGACGTTTACCGACTCTCGGACACTGACGCGACGGGGTTTACGAAAGAAATCACCGTCGACACAGGCGTTGAACTTGCCTCTGGCGTCGCGTTTTCTCACGATGGACAACTCATGGCCGTGTCGATTAGTGCTGGGTGCTGGATCTACGCTCTGGACTGGAAGGACAAGACGATGACGCTCTTGGTCAAGTTTCGCTCGGATTTCCACCCCGAGGACAGTTCCCAGACTTGTGCTCACTTCGTGGGCAACTCAACCATCTTGACGGGCGGAGAAGATGGAGTAGTGCGCGTTTGGAGGTTGCGACGAGACCCGTATAAGCGTGAGAAGGACGTGGGTTCGTCCAAGGCTCTCATTGTGCCGGACGAGAGAGATCATCACGCGAAAGTGACGGCAGAAGAGCAGCCAAAGCTTGGCGACTGTGTAATCAATCGAGACAATATGGTCACATTGACGAGGGAGTATCGTGGTCATACGAAGCGCATTCGTGATATTGACGTGGATCTCTCGCATCGTAACCTTGTGGCGTCAAGTGCAGAGGACCAGTCGTGTCATTTATGGAGACTTACAGAGGTAACGCCAATCTGCAAGTTCTCAAAAGATGACGCACTGGATATTGCGTTTCAGCGACTACCGACGAAGCCTACGGTTGGACTACGCAAGCATTTGTTTCGATGTGTGCGTTTTGCTAACAGTGGACGTCGACTTTATACTGTGCTGACCCCTGCGCGTGGCGACTCTATTTTGATCAAGTGGAAGCCGGAAACCATTGCACAGGAGAATGAGGAGCAGTGGTCGTGGGTGATTGAAGAAATAGCTGTTGCTGGTGACAAGCCTGTGGCCAGTCTTTGTGTGAGTCAGGATGACCGCTTTGTGTGCGCGGCTGCAGTGACGGGAGAGATCAAAGTGTTTCTGGCGTCGACGTTGCAACAGTACAAAAAGGAGTCAGCGGAGCAGCACTCGTTCGCTATCACCGGCATGAGCTTTGTGCCGCCGGTGGATCCACGTGAGTCTGTTTTATACTTGGTGAGTGGTGGCGCCGACAAGAGTCTGCTGCGGCATGCAGTTTCCTTGGAGGGTGGTCTTGTCACGTCGAGGAGAGCGATCCTAGTTGATGGTCTAAAGCGTGTGGTGGGTGCCACTGTCGGCCTTGGATTAAATCTATGGATGGCGATGCTTCTGTTCGTTATTACCCTGCTATTCATCCACGCAAGGACTGCGATGCTATCGGACGGCCCGCTGGCAGGTTTCAATGTCAGTTCTTTCGCTAATGTTTGGAGAAATGTGTCGGGCGAAGCTAACAACCACGACGTCGTCTTGTTGTCTTACTTACTTAGGATATAGCATCGCTTCGGTCCGACTCAGCAGATGGGCTAGTAACGGTTGGAGCTCTCGTTGTGACTACTGGCGTGACGTGGTTCTTTGCAGCGCATAGCTCTGTGACGAATCGTTTCTTCTGGAACGGTCTGCTTTGCTTACTTTCCGGCATCGAAGCCTTTTACATCGCGATATCAACCGAGCTCGAAGTCAAGTGGAAAACTGGAGATGCTGCTATTGATGAGCTACTCGGTGCGTGGTCTTGCTACTAGTGTCGTGCGCTTAGAAGCTGGCGACTTATGTTGGGCGTCGTGTGTGATGCTCTCCAGAATACAAGCTCGCGATTCTCCTCGGCGCGTGTTGTGTCGTGTTTTTCCTGTGCCATTCCCTGCTAGTGCTAGCACTATGAGGTAGCAGGCGGAACGAGCGAACGGCAGAATTCGTGGACCCTGTGGATCACTTTTCCAAACGACTCGTTTGGGACGCCGTAACGACGGACAACTAACAACGGTAACAAAATACGCGTGGTTGTCCACAACTTTTCCGACCGATTGGTAGCTTCGTTTTATGTGAAGTACCTCATAACGATGCAGAAGTAGGTTTTCTTGATGCCGTCACTTGAATTTGCATGTCGAGCCGTAGTTCATTGACAAACTATCAATTGAGTGTATGATGCACGTAAAACGTCAACGTAAAACGCACAGGTGATCAAAGAAAATCCGTGCGACGCGGGATGAAATACCAGCAGCTTGCACACTCTATTCATCTATTTGCCCTGCACGTGAACACGCGATACCCTTTCGAGATGAACACCATTACTACTACGGCAGTCTTTCCGCAGTGCGCTGCATGTGCAACGACATTCGGCTATGTGCAGCATCTCAAGGTGGATTCATAAATGCACCTAACTATCGTTCGCAGCGCCTCAAGATGGATTTACGAGGGCATCTAACCCACCATCCACATCGTAGAGCAAGCAGCATTGGAAGGAGAACGCAAGACTCAATTGGGCACTTCTCGTCACAGGAGTACCGAATCCATTGATCAACGGTACGGCCGTGTTGACAGAGGTCAAATGAGGTAATTGAACGACCAAAAAGACGCTGCAGAAGATCTCTGAAACTAGAAGCCACAGCGAGCGGAAAAATTGGGTCTCTAAAACTGAAAATTGAAATTCCACCGCAGGCGAACAGATCGATCTGGCGACTTAGCTTTTGATGTACCCTTATCCTTACCAAGTTGAGGGGTGGTTCACCTGAACAAAACCCGTTATAAGTAAGAAATTGCAAGCTAGATTAAGGAACCCTGATCACCACGATGTCTGAAACATTCACAATACTCACGCAGACCAAATATGGTCAATATTTCCCGAGTATCGAGCAGAAAAGAAACCTGGACAATGAGCGCACACTGCAAGTCCCAACATATTTGATGAGATGTCGCATTAAATATCGGACGGCTTGGGTTGCTGTTGGAGAGAGCACATCAAAAGTCAGAGATTTGGTCTCTTAAGTTGACAGCAATCCATTTTTTTATCACGGACGCGTACGAACCCACCCATTATATTGGAATAGCCAGCCTGAAAGCAGCAACGAGTCTAAAAAAGAGACACATCCTCATTCCTGCAACATCGTGCCAGTCCCCACATACGACACCAGTGCTAGCACGCTTTTGATCGGTGCTCCTGCTGCAGGTGTATTCACGTCAGCCCTGCAACAGTGACGGAGATTATCTTCGACTAAATTTTATGTCGCGTGTTTAGTGTAACGTGACACTCCCTCAAAAAATCAGAATGCGGAACCAGCAGAAACGGCTGGAAATGAGATGATGACCCCGTATGATGACCCCTTTGACATTGAGTTCGCCAGTTCATTTTTCACTTTCACTTATTGGAGTGTGGAAAAACACACCTTTATATCTTCGATGCGTACGGACTCATTAGTTAATGTCTATTGATGGAAGAGCAAACGCTACTGTGCTTCATCCGATAAGCTATGAGTTCGTTGGACGAAGAGCTCAATCACCTGGCGAAGGTTGCAGCTTATCGGATTTTTGTGATAGCCTATGCTTGGCAAATTAATAAAGGGATCAAAAAGCAGACCGTTGCAACCGAAAGGAACACTGCCTCACTGCTACCCCCACCTAGCTAAAAAGATCTAGTACAAAGCAAGTGATCCAAATCAGAGCTACTGGGATTGAAAAAACTGACAAGGTACTTTACTGCAGTCTCCTGGATATGTATGAGGCGTGTATCTAGGTATGAGACGTGACACCTACCCGATCTCATGTTGTCAAAATTTTGTGAAAGCTGCAAGTATGCGCTCGATTGACAGTATGTTCTTTTTATCGACAACGCTCTGTTGTGTGCGGGATTATTGCCCGCACACCTGGGTTTGGGCGTCGCTGCCACTATGACAGTCTGCAGATGGGATCGATTGTGGCAAGCGTGGGGAGGTCAAAAACCTGCAAGAAATAGGTTAACATTTCGTATGCGCTGGTCGGCGCCTGCCTGGGCTAAGATCTCAGCTACCTCCATTGTATATTGCTTCAATCACACAAAGTATGGGTTTGCTAAGTATCATGTTTTTATTAACTACTATGGCAATGAATGCGACAACACGAATCTAAGTAAATTAGGGAGTTTGACTTGACATGTTTAGCATGCGGTTGGTTCATATTATCTCCAGCTTTAGCGAAGAATATGCTAAAGCTGAAGATACTATCAATAAGCTGCATGCTAAAAATGTCAGGTCAACTTTTAGCTTCTGGATGACGTTGAAGAGGAAGAGAGTGCCCAGTCTGAGCTGACCGAATACGAATTGCAAAGACTTTATTGGTCAGAGAAAGATTAAAAATCGTAGGATAATTGGAAATGTGGCTCTTGTCGCAAAAAAGTTCGTTCCGACCAGAAAAATTGATGTCCGACTTGCTCTTATTTCCCTAGTTGATGTTTTTTAGGGAAATGACTAGGCCGCAATAACGGTGTCGTCAACAGATATTCGCATAGCACGCAGCACCCAGTCCAGCCTTCACTTGTGGTGTAAGTAGGTCTCCTTATCAGACAGAGTATGTTGTCATTGGCGATGATGTTTGCGTAATCTGAATGCTGGATTGATTGCTTGTTCTGGCTGTGGCTTGGAACTTAACCGCCAAACAACGAGTGGACTACTGTTAGCGTGCTGGTGACATTGATAACTCTTCCGTTAAATTAGGTTGTCATGGTGATCCTGCTGCCGACTCCAGTGGTCGACACTACGCTTCTCTGCGATACCTTATTGATTTCTCACACGAGCCGTGGCGATGGACTCTATTAGCTGATAGCCTGGCTTTAGTCTACAGGGATCCTGATGGAACTTGCCAATAGTTTGCGCCTACCATGCTGCAACCCGATTGCAGATAGGACAAAGAATTGATGAGCAGAGACTAGCGTGCTTTTTTGCGGCAAGCTGGTGATTGGCGCTTCGTCTCGAGTTACCGAGACGATTTCTTTTCTTTGCCTTTGTCTGCGTTGAGTGCTTTCCTGGTCCACAGCTTGGAAATGGACGCAAAGTGGATTTTGCTGGCGTATCCCGTGTGCATCGTTGCGCAGTCGCTAACTGGTATGTGCGCGCGTCAGCTGAAGACACAGATGGTTAATAATATCAAGAATTACACGATGAAGGTCACAAAGGCCAAGTGACCTAGTGCGAGCAAGCTGCGTCCTTCGTATTGATGAGTGAGGTACGGAGGTACTTATCACATTTTAATGGCTATGTTGGGGATATGCCGTCAAACAACAAGGATTCAAATGAACTTCTGCCGGTCAGGTGGAACTATGAAGTGCATTTGCGCTATAGCTCAGGTCTACCCTAAGCGTTGCTCAAAATATCGATCTTATTGGTCTTCATAAAGCGATGTTATGTTAAGCCGTGTACGCGCGGGCACGTCAAGCCTCGTTGTGCCTTGTCCAGCTCGACAGCGACTCCTATGCCCTCGATAGATGGTACAGTAGCACCATCGGATTCACGATTTGCACAACAATATCTCGACCAAACCGCAGGACCCTGTAAAGTTGCCAAGTAAAAACACGTAGCAACGTGGATCCGTTTGTCTGGTATGACGTCAAACAGATTGTAACGGGGTGAATCGTTACATCACAATTTATAAGAAATTGTTAATAGAATATAACTACAAGAGTTATGTTCTCGGAATGTTGTCATAAGGACAAATATTCTGCAGCACTTACAAGTAGTTCCTAATTGGTTGACAAAGGCCATTATATCAACCAACGAAGACACGCCACGACAGACGCACGCAATGAGTGGTGAGCAGATAGTTGACATGCACATTTGTATTTAGACATAGTTAGATGAGGATAAATAGTGATTGATTAGCAGACATGAACTGTGATAAATACAGTTCTACTTTTTACTTTAACCAAGTACTCGCTTCTTCTTACCGTCTTCCTCTGCACGTACGAGTGCACTTGAAGTTCCGAGGCACGGCCTTATTCTGTCGTCAGAATAAGTAGATTGTACTGTCATCAGTACAAGCTTCAGGGTGCCCCGTTACATCTCGGATACTTCTGGTAGGGAATTACCGTGCTGGACAATTTCCCTTTTGACACCGTTTGGTGTCAATATAATGTAACGGGCTACATCACCCCACCCCTTAACCATCAATCACCCGTTGATAAAATTTAGCTGATTGGGGCAGGGTTACCGTTGTTGGATAACTCTGGGGAAGGGAGCACTTGTTGGTCAAAATTTAACTCACTTGCCAATACATTACATGGTGTCAAAGTCCATGCGGTGTGCTGCCGAAGCAGCCAGAAAGGTGGTTGCGCGCATGCGTACAGCCGAAGTAAGCACTGTAAGGCTACATCACCCCACCCCTTAACCATCCATCACCCGTTAATTAAATTTAACTGATTGGGGCAGGGTGACCATTGTTGGATCACTCTAAGGAAGGTGCACTTGTTGGTCAAAATTTAACTCACTTGCCAATTCATCACATGGTGTCAACGTCCATGCGGTGTGCTGCCGAAGCATCCAGAAAGGTGGTTGCACGCATTCGTGCAGCCGAAGTAAGCACTTCTCTTGCTTTAGCAGCAGGTAATCATTCTCCTGCTGTTGCGATTTGGCAGCAGGCAGTGCGTGTTGTGAGCAGTCCACGTGGCGAGTCACCACATGCAACAGATACATCCGCTGCGTCTGCAGCGGGTGCCGTGACTCGCAATGCGGGTGAGCCTGAGATAGAGCTCATCTATTCTGGCGATTCAGATGATGCATTCGAATCGAAGGAGGCTCATCATGCCTCCGAATCATCCAGGTCGGAAACTGCAAGAGCCAGGTTGAATGGCTCTGGGGAACGTGGCGGCATCATGTCCTAGGTCTTCAGACCGAGCGATTCGTCTGACTAAATCTCGTCTCACACAAGTCCATCTGACAATAGGAAGCGTAGTGATGGTGGTGACGCACCTATACGTTATTACGAGAGAAGCAAATCTTGGGATCGAGCTGCTACTGGTGTCAGTGCTCGTGCTGACACCTCCCAAGAGGCCAGGGACAAATTTGTTCGGCGCCACGCTCCTCAAGTGGAGTCTCCTCAGATGCCGTCATCCAAGAATTTGGACCGGCTGGCCGGCACGACCACCGGACGGGATCAAACACCGTTTTGATTGTGAAAGGGTACGTCCTCCAAATTCCAGTACGAAAAACTATCCGTGCTGAAGAAGAATTCTTTACCGATGTGTTCTTCAAACATCGGTGGTAAATGGCAACCGAGGGCGTGACCGTAAAGTCTAGGTGCAGGGATGGAATACCTCATCCATGACATCGAGTGTATTGGCCGTGATGCCTGGCTCGATAAACTTGATGAAGGTTGAATCAGGTTTAAAAAAAATTACTTAGCTGGTGTACGATAAAAGTTACAATGAATGCCAAGAGAGGCAGGGTTACCCTATTTCTCGTGGGATGATTCGTGTCCAGGTTGCCTGGACAACTCGAATTGTGCCCCTAGGGAAGCCTCCTTCCCTAATGTTCCCTACAATAGGGCGCGCATCTCTTCTGGGATGACCGAAGGGATCGACACTTTGCAATCCCTATACTCGCGTTCGGGGAGGTCGCTTTCCGACGGCCCTTCTTCGAATGCAGCGGGCGGGTTTCGTTGTAGTGCTTGTCGAGACCCAGGACATCCACAATCAGTTGGGCACGAGGCTCCCAGCTGTCCCAGGCCGGTGGATAGACACGCTAGCGGATGAGGTAACTCGTCCGGACGCCCTTCACGTCGCGGTTATTCAAAATACGCTCCATTAGAAAGCGTTGACAACCGCCAGAATACGCCAAAGGATGTGGTGGTGGTGGTGGAAACACCTGATCCAGCTCGAAGGTTGGATCAGCTTGGTTTTCAGGAGCTGAACTGTGTAACGGAACAGTTACACGATGACCTGGCTCCTGAACGGACTCGGCATTAGAGCCCCATGACCTTGTAAAGGATAATTGTAAAATTTTAGCGAACTATCGTTTGGATGATCGTGCCGCGTTTGTACTAGCGCAAGTTGAGATCACTCTATTCGGTTTCTTCGTGATTATCTGACTGCAGCTCATTAGGATATCGCCCAACCGCGTGAGCAGGTCGCTTTGCTTGTCGACCAGACTGGATCGTTGAAACGGGACCACGCGAAGGTGGTCTCGGCCTTTAACCGTGGGGGTGTTCTTCGCTTCTCGAAACGGGCTTGTACTGACAGTACAGGCGGAGACGACCAACGTAAAACGTAGGATGCGTTTGCATCTTACGGGGCAGTTCAATCGTGTATGCGTTGCTCACGAGGCGCAATACACGATTTGGACCAATTTACTTGGGCAGTAATTTACAGCTACCCACGTTTGTCACTGCGTGTTTCGGTAGATTTACTGTAAACAGTGAAACGAAATCTCCATCATTAAATTATAGAACAATTGCTCTTCCATGTTTGTCTGCGTTTCTTTTCTGTCTGTTTAACGCACCTGCAATAGAATCTTGAACGAACCGGACAGCCGCTTCGCGAGTTAGCAAAAATTCCTCTGCTGACTCATCCTGGTCAACAGCAGTGCGCTTCGTGTGCAGTGCTGAAAGAACGTTGTCCTTATCAGTAAGGGCGTCATCGTCCTCACTGTAGCAGTCGTTGGCGATGCTGAATATACCAGCATCGTCGTCATCAGCATCATCGATATCGATCGCATCTACATCGTCATCCACCACGTCGACACCATTGTCGGCGTGTGATGAGCAAGAACCAGATCCAATTTTTTCGAGCAATTATAACTTCGGGTAAACAAGAGTCACACTTTAAGAAGGCAGGTAAACTTCTATGGCGTAGGCCATTCACGAAGAACGGTGTATGCGTTGTCGACGCATGCACCGAGATGTTGATAGCAAATTCCACCTTCGGCAAGAACTCACTCCAACTAGTATACAAGCAACGTACCATCGAAGTATCAGTTCGAAAACGCACTTGACGCGTTCCGTCTGACCATCTGTTTCTGAATGGTCAGAAGTCGACATCGTCATACGTGTTCCAAGTGAACTGAATACGGATTGCCAGAAATCAGCTGTCAAGCGGGGGTCCCTATCTGACATGAGTCCACGGGTTAACCCGTGAAGTCGGAAGATAGTATCGAAATGAAGACATGAGCACAGTCCTGGGCTCCGGTTGACTCCGGTACAGCAACAAGATGTACCATCTTGCCAAATCGATAAACTAACACAAGAATACCAGTGTTCTTGTGAGCGTCTTTGGTGAACTCAAAGACGAAATCCATCATTACGGACTGCCTGCACTCTGCCGAAATCGGAAGAGGATGCAAGGGTGCGCGGGATGAAGGACTAGGCTTCACCCGTTGAAAAACTTCGCAAGCGCGAATGTATTTGCTCACAAAATCATACTGGCGGGGCCAGTAGAAGTCACGGCTTACCAAGAGGTAAGTCTTTTCTCTACCGCGGTGCCCACTTGTTGGGGCATCGTGACACTCATATATGATGCGCAATAACAAATCATCATGAGCGAGAACGACGACACGAGGTGTGTCGCCGTTGACTGCTGCTTAGTGCATTGTTACATCACGAAACGAATATCGTTCGGTTGAAGAGCGGTATTAGTACGTCAACCTTCTAAAGCTTGATTCATGGATTAGACACGTAATTCATCAATCGCAAAAGAGATCTATTTTCTGCGTATGCCTTCCGCACGTCGTCGAGCAGATTCGATGACGGGACACTCACAGATAGTGTTGCAATAGTGGGATCGTCCCTACTGTTGTATTAAGCAGTCAGCTCGAAATCGGGCCGACGCGAAAGAGCATCAGCGACGACATAAAGTCGTCCTGTTTTTACTCGACGGAGAAGTTGTACTATGCGAAGAAAGACAGCCACCTTGCCTTTCGTTGCAAGAGGTGTGGACTGTTTACGGTCGTGCGTGACCACGCATGGTCAGTGTAAACAATGAAGGGCCTGTCTCCTAAAAAACATACCCAAAACTTAGCAAGTGCCTATTTCAAGGAAATGAGCTCCTCGTCATGCACCGAGTGATTTGGCTCAGCTGCTTGCAGCTGACGCGATTGATAGCAGACGACGCGCTCAACGCCGTCTGAGTCGTACTGCATAAACGCGCATCCGATCGCAAAATCGCTGGCGTCACAGACCACATGGAATAGTCCGTCC